TTTTATTTATTTAAAATTAATATCAATTATTTTTTTTCCTTCACTTCTTCTTTCGCTTTTCCTCTTCTTCCTTCCCTCCCCTTTATTAATTTTTATCTAAAAAAATTATAAAAGACCAAGTTTAAGAGACAAAAGAGGATGGGCAAAAGAAGAAAAGGATTTCTGATTTCCCATACAAAAGCCAGAATTTTCAAAATTGTCACTCTCTGACAAAAGGCCTCAGCCAATAGAGCAATTGTGAAGCCAAGCAATTACTGACTTGTTGGTTCGAGTAAAAAGAGTTTAATTCTCCTTATATAAGATTTTGAGTTTGAGTCTTTTAAATGAAAAAATAGATTTGAGTCTTTTAAATGAAAAAATAAATGCCTAGAGAATTTCTCCTATAATGGAATCCAATATAATTCAATTCTAGATTAATCGAGATTTAAAATGGTTACCAAGTACTGAAAAATTAATAAAAAAAAGTTGTGGGGCCAAGCACGTTCTTAGCCAACGGTGATAGTTCAGTGGTATGATTTTGAATCTGGGACACAAAAGAAAGTGCACTCTGATTTCTGGCCTCTTCAACATAGAGAAATCTGAGGGCAAAGTGGATCATAATGGAGAAGAGCACAACTAAGGTCTGTGTGACAGGAGGTTCTGGATATATCGGTTCCTGGCTTGTTAAGAAGCTCCTAGACAAAGGCTACAAAGTCCATGCAACAGTCAGAAACTTGGGTCTTTCTCTCTCTCTTTCTTTCCCTGTTTGTGATGTGTAGTTGTGTGCTTCTGCAAAAACTCGCATACAATTTTTTATTTTATATTGCAGGGGATGCATCAAAAGTGGACCTTCTGAAATCTCTTCCTCACGCAAGCACTAACCTGGTGTTATTTCAAGCCAATATTTACAATCCCATTGAGTTTGAGCTGGCAATTCAAGGTTGTGAATTTGTTTTCCATGTGGCTACCCCGTTGCAACATGAGACCCAAAACACAAAGGTCGGCCTCTTTTCCTTTTAATCAAGCCTTCATTGAATGCAGTAAAAGTAATTAACACTGACCAAAATCTGGCTGGAATTCTCCGTGACAGTACAAGGACACGGTGGAAGCGGCTATTGCTGGAGTGAAGGCCATTGCTGATTCTTGCACTCGATCACAATCGGTGAAACGGCTAATCTACACTGCCTCCGTTATGTCTGCATCTCCATTAACAGAAGGTGGTTTGAACTTCAAATCTTGCATCAACGAGTCATGTTGGTCCCCTCTTGATATCTCATATGCTCATAGCAATGACTTTATGATGGTATAATTCTGTCTTCCTTTGGCTTTACTGACATGACATGTATTGTTAAGAATTAACTTGTATTCATATTACTAGTATAACTTCCTAAATTAAATTTATTTTATGGTCTAGGGATATACAAAATCAAAAACATTAGCAGAGAAAGAGGTGTTAAGTTACAATGATGTTTGTGATGGTAAGTTAGAAGTTGTGACGCTACCCTGTGGCCTGGTGGGGGGAGAGACTCTTCTCTCTTACATTCCTCAAAGTATGGAAGTAGTTTTGTCCCAACTTACTGGAAATCCATCTACTTTCAAGGTATTAAGATTTTTGCAAGAACTCTTGGGATCGGTTACTCTAGTACATGTAGATGACGTTTGTGAAGCACATATATTCAGTATGGAACAAACATCCATGAGAGGCAGATTCCTCTGTGCTGTTGCAAATCCAACAATCAGAGAAATCGCTATGTATTGGCAAGAGAAGTACCCAGAATACCAGATAGCACAAGAGTAAGCAATTTTTTTTTTTTTTTTGGGCCCTTAATTAATTAATATAGCTTCATAAATTTATATTAATACGAGATTGACTTCATTTTAGGTTCATGGATGAACAAGATAAAGCAGCAGTGGAATTGGATACCAGCAAGTTGATGAGGATGGGATTTGAGTACAAATATGACATGAAGAAGATATTGGACGATAGTTTTAACTGTGGAAGGCAAATGGGTGCTCTCAAGTAAAAATTTCTGGAATCCTTTTTCTGGAAGCATGGGAGGCTTAGGGTAGTAATTTGTCAAGACTGCTTTTATATGTAAAATAAAGGAGCAGATTGTCAACTGGAAAGAAGAAAGTAATTTAAATTTCCTCCAACGACGACGAGTACTACGTTTATGATAAGTCGGGCGCGCTGACGACGATTCCTGAGGTTCCGGAGATTGATTTTAGCAGACCTTCTCCGAAGATTAACTCGCTCGTCAGTAAAACTGCATCGGAGAGGTTCACGGCGCAGGCTGCGGCGTCAATTGGTATATCATGTGCTTAAATATGTAGAGCAAGGTAATAATAATCATGAGAATATATAAATAACGATGGATATGATTGTATAATTTATGCATACTTATGGTCTTAATTAGGATGTTTTGTGGCTTAAGTTTACGTCGCTTGGAGTTTTGAACTTCGACTCTTAATTTCATGGTTTTTCTCAGTTTTAACATAATTATTGATTAGCCTTTTGATTTAGTTTCATAAATTAGGGATTAATTGCGGCAAAATCTCTACCTACCTACTTCCATGACCATTATATTAGCAAATGTAGAAGCAACGATCCTGACTTTGAAGAAAAGATATGGCGGATTGATTAATCTGTA